AAACGGACCAAGGAGAGATTCAACCTAGAAACAAGGAGGAACTTTCCGACAGTGAGAACAATCAACCAATGGAACAGAAGTTGCCCTCGGAAGTTGTGGGAGCTTCATCATTTGAGATTGGATTGCCATTTGTTTGAAATGGTGGAGGGTCTCCTCCTTGAGCAGGATTAGATGACCTATAGGGTCCCTTCCAACTCTGTCATCCAAGAAGCTTCTTCGCTTTGATGAGAAGTTTCTTCAGCTCCGATTCCCCACCATCCAATCAGAACTGAAGAAGCTTCGTGAATAGGAAGTGAAACGTCTTCAAAAGAAAAAGCAGAAAGTCCAGTTGCCTCTTGAAAAAGCACCTTTGGGACAACCATGACCTGGATGACTGTGGATCTCCATAGGCTGTGAGGGAGATTGGGGTGAAATCCTGAAGGGCCGGTGTTCATCAAGCTTTATTGTTGTGCAGCTCCTAAATTGTATCACTCTTCGTAACCCTTTGGAGCCAGCCCACCCCCACCCCCCAATCTCCCTGTTTGCCCAAATTCACATTCATTGCGTTGGTGACACTAACCATGTCATCCTCTGCCTTTCCCTTCTTTTGCCTTCATTCTTTCCCAACATCAGGGTCTTTTCCAATGAATCCTCTCTTCCAGTTTCGGTTGATTGAACTACATGCATCAATGCAGGTAGTCCTCGAGTCATGACAATTGAGCCCAAAATTTATGTTGCTATGTGAAACGTTTGTTAAACAAGTTTGCCCCCATTTTACAACTTTTCTTGCCATGGTTATTAAGTGAATTGCTGCATTTGTTAAGTTCGTGGTGGTGGTGAAGTGGATCTGGATTCCCCATTGATTTACTTGTCAAAAGGTTGAAAAAGGGCATTGCATGACACCCAGGACACTGTAACCGTCATAAATATGAACCACTTATCAAACATCTGAATTTTGATCATGTTTCAGTGCTGTTGTAACTGTGAACAGTCACTAAATGAACTGTTGTAAATCGAGGACTATCTGTACTTTGATTTAGGAGAATCAGTTTCGGATTATAACCTACACTCCTAATCTTTAGCTACTAAGACAAGGAGAGAGTATTGTAACAGTTGTTTGGAGGTTCAACTGCTTGTTTACCTATGGAGATTACAGGATGACTTTGGCCAGTCATGTTGGCAGCTAGCCTTCCTTAGACTGCCTGATTTTAACTCTAAAAAGAGAATCCATAGAAGCCATTTTGAACTCCCAGATAAAATGTAAAATGCAATTAACATTAACATTTGAAAACATACTATTGTTCTCCAACAAACATATAATTTGAAATCCTTTCAATTCACTGAGCAGTAGTTCTGTAAGATTCTGAAAATTAACCATAAAGCCAATCAGCACATGGAATTGTTAATTCTCTTATTTTACCCTTACTTTAGATATTGTGATTTTTTTTTCTGTATGGCCCAAAGCAGAAAATGTAGCTTCTTTTTTTTCTGTTAAGCATACTGTAATTTCATATATACATGTGTTTTGTCATAATTCAGGGGATAGGCTAAATAGACGGACTAGAGTAGTAGAGTTCAGTCTACATGCCAATTCCATAGCAATAACACAGTGTGTGTAAACTATCATACAAAATTCTCAATTTCAGATGCTAACAAAAAAATGCCTATGATCATCAACATATCAGAGCGAGAGAGAAGTGCCAGATTCTCAAGAAGGAGTAACGTTATATTATTGCTAATGAACTTTGGATAATTGAGAAAGGCAAAGAATGTTAAAAAGTTAATAGTTTTAGGTCTTTGTGTAGCCCATGCCAAGGTGTGGAATGGGCTTAGGAAACTGAGAATCCCAAAACATTTCATTTTCTGCACATGAAAACATTACCCAGAATAGGAAGCCACAGTCCAGGCAGAATATAGTGAAACAGTCTGGCTTCAGATTGGCAAAAGAGAAAGGACAGGCTGTATATTCTCTCATTTATTCAACCTACATGCTGAAAATATATTGAAGGAGCTGGATTAGAAAAGTAGGTTATTTTCAAAATTGAACACAAATAACTGCTATTACGATGACGCAACTATGGTAAGTAAAAATGCAAATGTTCTGCAAGTTCCAGCAGTGAAATTCAAGAAACACAGTAATAAAACTAAGAATAAACAAAAAGAAGACCAAACAAATGACAACATATACCACACTCAGAATTGACAAGGAAGATATTCAAGTGGGGGATAATTTCTGCCTTTTAGGAACAATTGCCTTTTAGGGACAACTATCATCAGTTCCACAACCCCCAGAAACCAGACTATTACTCATGCTTGGCCTATGAACATCTTCTTTTGGGGTTGTTTGGATTATTTGTGTTGAAGACTGTGGCAAACTCTACTACAGGCAAGGTGTATGCTTATTTTTCCAATTATTTCAAAAACATTCCTTCAAAAGCTAACGTTTGTAAAATATCCCTGAAGTCAGGGCACGAAATAACATATTCTTTTAAGACTACTGCAACAAGATTTGCAATGAGAAAATTGTTTTAATACAAAAGTGAAAGAATCTCAAAGTGCAAATATATCTGCGCTTCCATTAGCTGAAATGGCACCCTGGAGGGATGGAGGGAAGAAAGCACATTTTGTGCCTTATTTTTCTGTGCAGCTTTCCAACTCTTCATGTCAAACAATTAGGCTTCCCCTTAAAATATCCTGCCCTCTCAAGCAATTGTAACAAACGAGTAGAAAATATTACTCCAAGTAGTGTAACCTATTTCAGTCTTTCAGCGACAGAAAGAACAGAAGGACCAGCTTCCTGTTTCAGTGACACCAAGAGCTAAAGATTGGATCTAACTAAAATACAATTGCTTCATGGTCTCCAGACCCAAGGTGTCTTCGCACACTTTCTGATAATGGAGTGAGGCCTCCTTGCTCACATCAGCAGATAAATCCACAACACGAGCAAAGGTCCTGTGGGGAGAAAAAGCAGTTGAATTTGCTCTAATTTCCTCAAAAGAACTTGTGAAAGTAATTAAAACCTTAATAGCACGGCTGTTTGAACTGATTTAAATTTCATTTTGTTCAGGTTCAGGCAGTACAGTGCCTAGGGGCACCATTAAACCCTAGATACTACAGCTAAGCTCATTTGTCTGATCTGCAAAGGTTCTTTTTAATAAATAAATTTTAATCTGCAAGTTAAATAGGAACGTGGCTTGATGCAAAGCAAAGCATGAATTATATTAAATGCATTAGTTTCATGCTGACTTTAATATACGTAAGTCCTCTTAGCATAGGCCTCATGGGAGAAGTAGATTATTTTCCAGTAAATGGGAATTTTGTAATTTACTCTGCCCACCCTAGCAAACGTTTCAGGTATAGGCAAATCTACCGTCAGCCATTTTGTGAGCATGTCGTCCCCTGCCGGAATTTCAAGTGTGTTCCCCCATGAAAGCATCTCACAAGGACCATGAACTGATAAGCGCACCAATGGGAGGTCATGACTAAGCTGTGAAAGTTTAGGAGGCCAGTGGAAGGAATGAAAGGAAAAGAGTCTGATGGCCACCACTACTCTTGGATTACTACTTACCTGAATTTGCAATTGTTTCAATCTAAATTTTCACTTCAATTAATTGAATGATCATTCTAACTTATCTTATGAAAAAGGTGTGTTTCAACAGAAACTATGAAAATAAATACATGTGAGGGAGCTACTGTAATGGGAAAAGTCTAAATAGAAGCTGTCTTGAGTCCTTTAAGCATTTCTACTCTCAATAAAAAATGGGACTTATGAAACAAGGCATATTAGCCCCATGTGGTCATCACTGCATTGTTATATTCTGCAAATGGAAATTGCATAGTTTCTTCTTACACCTTTACAAGTACCTTGGCAGTTCTGCATCCAGCTTCAAAGATACTTCCTCTAGTTCCTTCATGACATTCAGCGCTTTGGCATTTTCTTCAAAGTTTTGTACCAGGGCTTCATTCAAAACACTCTGAATCATAGCCAAGCTTTTCTGCATATCAGCTATCTCATAAAAGTCAAAAGATGCAGCTGTTAACTCAAACAATGTAGTCAGATAATGAGCCCCAAATTTCTTTCGTTAAGCGAGACATTTGTGAAGTGAGTTTTGCCCCATTTTACGACCTTTCTTGCCCAGTTGTTAAGTGAATCACTTCAGTTGATAAGTCAGTAACCTGGTTGTTAAGCGAATCTGGCTTCCTTATTGACTTTGCTTGTCAGGTCACAAAAGGTGATCACATGACCTTGGGAAAAGGCAATGGACACATGTATGAACCAGTTGCCAAGCATCTGAAATTTGATCCCATGATGATAAGGATGCTGCAAAGGTCATGTCACTTTTTTCATTGCTGTTGCAACTTTGAACCGTCACTAAATGAAGTGTTATAAGTCAAGGACTATCTGAAGTGGTGATGATAATCAAACCTGACTGCTTAGTTTAAACAAGCTTGTGAAGGATGACTTTCTCTCTGTATTGACTAATAGAAACGAAATAACTTATGCATAAATAAGATTTTGAAGGGCTGTATGTTGTATAAACTTCTTCAAAGTTTCATGTCTCTTTTTGCAAAATTGGATTGTCAAGGGGCTCAAAACTTCTGTTAGCATGAGGTTCACAACTATCTTAGCAGTAAAATATTCTAAGTAATCGGTAATAGAATTCAAGATACACCCAAATTCATATATATCATAGGACCCATTCAAATTTTTCCCCATTATTTCCCAACAGATCACAGTCAGCTGTTAAGGCTAATTCATGAGCCAAAGAGTGGCCATCTGTTTGATAACATCATGATGACATTTTTGTACCTAGATATTGGCCCATGTCTTCTACATAGATGTCCTTCATGGGCAATTCATGCCTAGTTGTGTCCAGGGCTGTGGCAAAGTGCTTATAGTCCCTCTTAAACAGGGCACATTGTTCAGAAACAGGTCCAAGTATTTCAAGCTGGAAAGCAAATGGGTGGAGCAGGGGAAAAAGAGATTATGATTAGTCACAAGAGGCATATGATACAAGAACTGTGCATACTTCCCCACAATATTTTTACTACCACTGTATAGATAATCTTTGACCTATGACCATTTGAAGTTATGCTGCTGCTGAATGAACGGTGGTTATGCTCAGTCTCGGAGTTCTGGGCTATCCAGTCCCACCCTCAGTGGTTCAATGATTGCAATTTGGGCACTTGGCAATTGGTTCACACCAAACAACCAGTTGCAGTGCCCTAAAATAATGTGATTACCATTTGCAACCTTCCCTGCTGGCTTCCCCAGAAAGCCAATAGGAAAGCCAGCAGGTAAGGTCACAAATGACTGGGGTAAGTCTTCCCCACCTCCCCCAGTTCCTCTGTGCTTTTGCCATGCAAGCCACTTGTATGCCCTCCATGACCCTCACCATGCTTCCCTTGCAACTTCCTGATCCTCTCACACATACCCTGACGCATTCTCCCCAACCACTGCCTTTCATGCACATCCTCATGCAACCTTCTTGACTAGGGCCTCTTCCACATACTTTTGCATCTTTGTGCATCTGCTCTCACACATCCTCATGCACCCTACCCAACCAGCTCGCCCACCCTCCCCTGCATTCCTTTGCTCTCTCCATCACCTAGCAGCAGACATTTACCTGCCTTCCTGAGAAGACTTGCAATTTCCTGGCGGCTTCCACACTGACTTGGTTTTGGGAAGCTGGTAGGAAGTTCCCTTGTCTAATAACCGTGGGATTCAATTAATGACAGCAATTGGGACTGCAGGGATTGCTGTGCTAAGCAATAGCATCACACTTTATGACTGTAAATATTAGTGACAGAAATTCCAGTCCCAATGGCTATTGTTGGCTGAGGACTACTTTTAATAGCAGGGAAAAAGTACCTTGCCTATTACTTCAGCAGTAATCTCCCTACTAACTGGGTGAAAGATATTAGATTTTGCAATAGCTATGATTATGCTATGATATGTAGTGTTTTCAATTCTCCTAAGAAAACACTTCCTGTTTAATCATTGCATTGGCTTGAAATAGTCATAGAACCAGAGGTAGAACCGAGGTCATTTAGCTGAATTTACCACTGAGTGCTAGATAAATAATGTAAAATGTATTTTTAACAACCCTGGCTCAACAACTTTGATGACTATTAAGTTTCTAAATGAGTACCTATGGTAAACAAGAATTCTATCTGCCAAATAGTTGTTTCATTTTTAAATAGCACCTATCACTAGGACAGATTTTCAGTTTGATGCCCTCTTCAGAAATATTAAACTTCAAACTTCCTATGGTTATTCAGTTGAGATATATCTATTGTAAGACAAAAAAGTGGACTGATTAAGCCTAAGAAAGTACAGTATCTATACAGTATCTATAGTAACATTTGCAAAAACACTTAAGTGTTTTTTATTACATGACTAAGGGCCAGCTTAATGAAAAAAAAACATACTAGAACGATTATTCATTTATCAGCATGACTAATGAAAGGATTGTGCTTGAATAGGAAAACACTTCATTCCAGTCTATCAAAGATGACCATAGCATGGCAGAGAAGATTAAAAGATCAAAATGATAAAGCCCAAGCACTAATTCTGATGAAGATATTACGAAATATTGTTATCTGAAGATAATATTCTAGAGATTAAAAGAAAACAATTTGATCTAGTGTCTCCCATTCAAATAAGAAGTAAAATGGTAACAATATTTAGATAAAAAGTATTAAAAATTGCTAATTGCAAATATAAGGACAAAAAATGGATAATTCACTTCTCTATTCTTCTGACATTCTTCAACTTTCTCTTCTACAACACTCCTAACATCTTAGCAGTTTTTTAATCTCAACAGGTAAGAAGCATGACTGGTCAATAGTTCTTATACCTGCATTTTGAACTACATTCCTATACACTCTGCTATGTCAATTATTCTTAAGACTAATTAAGGACAATATTTAGGATTATACATCTAATGTACTATATTTTTGCAAATGTGAAATGCCTGAAAGAGTACTGGGAAGGAAGACCAAACCATCCAAAAAAGATGATTGATTCAGAGATGTGCATAAATTCTGGACATTAGGATCTAGAGATTAATAAAATTTGTTTAGGGCAAATTGTCCGAATTGATAAAGTAGGATGGGAATTGAAATTTGGCACATCTGGAGGCTTCCAGACAAAGATTCGGTCTTTTGCCAAAAACGTGTTTTATTCAGGTTTTATCTACTGGTTCACATTTAGCCTTCGGAAATAAAGCAGAACATTATTGTTCCATCTTTTGCCTGGTATCCTACATTTATTTTAAACCTGGGAAAAACGTTAGAAATAACATTTCTTTTTCATCTCTTTAACTGTTATTTGTAAAACTGGATTCCCTGTTGATATATTTTACAATGTATTTTATTACTATTATTTTCTGAAGTAAGGTATGTGGATTTTAATCTCTTCTGCAACTAAACAATTTCCATCTTTTGTGCAAAGGTAGTTTATAAACACAATAACTGACTGCATCTCCTTGGGCCCATACCACAACTCAGCTTGCTTACAAAAGCCATAGACTATCAGACTAGAGTTCTGAAGAGATACCTATAACCATTTTTTCTCTCCTCACATTTGGAGATCAACATAGCCCCAGGTTATTAAAAATCAATCCTATTCTTCAACTATTCCTAGTCATTTTTTTTCTTCTGCTCTCTTTTCTTACAAGTCTATTTCTTAGTTTTAATCTGTACACGTGGTACTTGGTGCCCATTTAAAGTCCAGTTGTTCAGCAGCCAAATTTACAACAGTATTGAACAAGTGATGGTTATAACCAGTCCGTGTAGTTAATGGCAGTTGCAGCATCCCCTGGCCACATGATTGTGATCTGCAACTTTCCCTGCTGGCTTCTGACATGCAAAGTCAATGGGGAAGCCAGCAGGAATTCACAACTTGTAGTCAGGTTGAGTCTCTTGCTTAATGGCAGCAATCGGAACTGTTAATGCTAATCAGTGCAATCAAATTATTTGTCAACTTACAACATGTCACTTAATGACAGAATTTCTGGTGCCAATTAGCTTTGTTAAGAAAGGTTACCTATATATTTTAATGTGGGTATAGCAATTTAGCTATTACCAAGTTAGTAAGAGCCCTCAAACATAATCTAAAAAACAAAATCTAAATAATGAATTGACAGACATCCAGAATAGAAAAAAGGGGAGACGCCTGCATCTATTATGCCTGAAGTACAATGCAACAACAATGTATTATCCATCCATTTATAGAAAAATCATTTAATTAGGAATGCCTTATATCAGTGATGACTAACCTTTTTGCTGTCACGTGCCAAAAGCACACATATGCCCACACCCATAACGCAATGCGTGCAGAACACCCCTGTGCGCTCTGCCCCCCCTGCGCATGCACACACGACCCCCTCATGCATACACACACACACATCCCATTTTGGGCCTAACAGGGACCAGAAAATGGGGTGAGGTGGGCACACCGCCCCCATGCATGCGCATGAGACCCCCACCCCACCATGCACGAGCACCTCCCGCATGGCACCGCCCCCACACAGCAGAGACCCAAAAATCAGCTGGCTGGCGAGGGGTGCGCATGTGTATAAGTGGTGGAGCTGAGCTGGGGCTACAGCCCACGTCCCCGCAAAGAGGGCTCCGTGTGCCACCTGTGCAATAGGTTCGCCGTTATGGCCTTAGTTACTTTCCAAATCCAAGCTTTCCTTAGGGAAGCTATTGGTAGACACTTTACATTAATTTTGGTGTTTTCAATCTATTCCACATATATTTTGTAAAACTAAGCAAACCTGTCTCTCAAGAGCTTCAGAGAGCTCAATCTCTTTCTTCAGATGCTGAAGTTTATGCTTCTTTTCATGTGCATTCGCCTGTAGTTTCTTCACTTCCTCACAGAGCACTAACAAGTTCCTTTCAGCTTTCCCCTCCAGAAGGACAAGGTTTTTCTCCATCTGTTACAATAGAGGATCTCTTGGTTCAAAACTATTTCAAAAAGAAAGAAGGTGTTTAATTTTTCTTTAAAGACATCTTGTATTTGTGCAGTAGAGCTATTACCTTTGTCGAGGCATAAGTTAACAGCAGCATCTGAGAGTCCAGCATCCCAATCAGATCATTTGAATCAGAGGGCGTCTAATAAAGAAGCAGATATATTGTTTGAAGTGGGTTGACCAAAAAGTGGTCACACAACAGGACTGTGACTATTTTCCAATGGCTCCAGAAAAGACAACTTGGATTAACACATGGTAGACACGCCCTTACTGACTTTTCAGGAAAAGGAAGATTATTTTTTTTTAAAATTTTTTTTAGCCTAACTGTTTCTCTTATAGCAATAGCCCTTAGACTTATATACTGCCTCGTAGTGCTTTTAAAGCCCTCTCTAAACGGTTTTTACAGAGTCAGCCTATTGCCCCAACAATCTGGGTCCTCATTTTACTCACCTCAGAAGGACGGAAGGCCGATTCAACCTTGAGCCTGTTGAGATTTGAACTGCCAAATTGCAGTCAGCCAGCAGTCAGCAGAAGTAGCCTGCAGTACTGCACTCTAACCACTGTGCCACCTCGGTTCTCTATGCTCCTTTAATGCTCTTATGCTTTTACTTTTCTTATTCTCCTTTACTGCTGTATCACCTAATGTAGTGTACAACTGCCCACTCTGGGTGCAGATATCCCCCTCCCTCAAAATTTGAAGATTT